CTGGACAGGCGTGTTGGTTAGAAGCAAGAGCCGGCAGGCTCGGCGCCCTGCCCGCCCGCCCTGCCCCGCGGGGGCTCCGCGGCACCTGGGGCTCTGCTGAAAACTAACGCGGTGGTTTCACTTAAATTCATAGAATCATAGAATGTTTTGGGTTGGAAGGGACCCCTAGAGTCCTTGCTGCCCCCTTGCTCCCTGCGCGTGCACCTCGCCCCGGAGCGGCTTTCCGCCTCCCTTATTGCCAAGGAGCACCCTGGGCTTGCATGGCGGGGCCCAAATTTAACGACTCCTGGGCGAGGGGAGGCACGGGAGAGAAGCGATGGAGCACAGCTCTGGGGCCCCCCCCAAAATGGCCAGGCTCGAGACTCAAGACCCCCGAGCGCGCCCTCCCGGGAACCATCCACGCGCTGGTTTGCCGCCTGTCGCAGAGGCCGCCCTGCCACGATTCGCAGGCCAAGTCTGGGCCGGGGCCCAGGAGGGACGAGGCTGCCCTCCCCGCTCCCTCACCCGGGCGCTGCTGCCCAGGGCCCTGGACTGAGGTCCAGTCGAGGGGCCTGAATCCGCATGCAAGGAGCAGCTCAGAGCTGATGGACGCAGGGAGCATTTCTGCCCCTCCTCTTTCCTCTTGGCAGGCTTTGGCTTTTTCAGATCCCTACAGTGAGCTGGTTTAACATGCTTTAAATGGTGAAGAATTAAGCCAGTTTTTTAAAAGAATGGTTTTCTGACACTTTACTGAGCTGCAAGTCTCATGAGAAAGTCCCATGAAAACCAAAGCCGGCTGCAAGGGAGCGGCGCGGAGCAAGGGCAGGGTAGGCCATGGAAGCAGCAGCTGGCAGCGCTCCCATACTTCCCGGGCAGACGGATTGCAGCGGCCGGGTTCCCTGCCCACTGTGCGGATGCTGGCGTGAGCCAGCACAAAGCCAGGGTAGGAGCACCCTCCAGGCAGCAGGAGGTTTGGAGTAGCAAAACCAGTGGTGGTTTGACTCACTCCTCCCTCTAACGCTGGTCTGCTTTATCCACTGACCTTGCTCAGTGCTACAACCCTCACTGCTTGAAAGCTGCCCTTTTCCAGGCCCCCTGTAAATACAGTGTAACTCATGCAGTAGTTAAAAGTTTGGATTTTTTTTTTTTAAAGCTAAATAAGGACTGCTGAAAGATCTCAGAAGCAGCTTGTCTCAGCAGCAATTAAATAGATGGCAAACTTGCCTAATGAGTATGCGCACCGCTTCTCTCCGCACCTACTTCCCATCCGGTAAAGCTCAGGGTGCGGTGGACTTAGGAGTCATTAGTAGCACCTCAGAGCTACTGAAAAAAACAAAGCTCAACAATATCCTTTATGCCAAGACACACGGTCTCCTGAAGACATAAACGAAGCCTTCCTTCAAAGTGTGCTTCTGCATATTAGTTATGCAAATTAGTGTATTGCTTTCCATTTATTTAGCAAAGCAAACGCAAAACCTGGAGCGAGCGAGCCAATCCTTACGTTGCCAGTGCTTTTGCATTCGTGATTTTTAAAAAATTTAGTAACAAGCAATTAAATACACGCACACCGGCAAGTATTTCGCTGGTCAGGATAAGCTGGTTTTAAGCTAGAGGTAGCTATTCCATTTTTCTATTATTAAAGACTGACTTTAAGACCACAGCAGTTAAAAGCAGCAGCCTAGACTCTAACCTCTCCCACAAGACAGGGCCTTAACGACACAAATAACAGATTTTTTTTTTTCCCCCCCAAATCAGTTATTATGCCGTATTTCAACAGGCGTGTAGTTGCTCAATCTTTAAAGCTAGCGTATTTTACCCAACTACTCTTTTTTCCGGCTTATCCATGGCCACAGCCAGTTCCCGCTCTTAGATGGCATAACGGGTACCTTGGGGTATGTCTTCACATTGGGTTTGTTGTACTCATCTTCAAAACAATTTGCATGGAAACCATTTTTCACTTGATTCCACACCATCCCTTATTAACAGAAAAAATTTTTCAAGGGAACCGCCTCCGAAGGCCATGTTGCTGCGTGACATTCAAAAGCACACGTCTTGCTCTCCTGCAGTGCACTGAAGTGTTTTTGCAGAGTTTATTTTAAAATGTAAAAGAATAGAGCAACGACACAACTGAGGCTTTGCCAACATGATACATTCCCCGTTTTTGTATATATTCCCCATTTTTGTATGTATTTGCACATCACTTCGGATGTATAGAATTAAAGACTGGACGTTATTTTAGCCTTTACCATTGAAAAACATCCGTAAGGGAGTTGCTAAAACACGAAGAAGTCTAATGCCTGTGAAGCTGACAGAGTACCCATGTATTTTTAATGACTGGTGTGCTGAGTATGCTGTTTAGTAAGATTTCTGAAACAGTTAAATACAGAGATCGTATGCTCTTTTTATTGGCATACAGTCACTACCCATATAAGTGCATTTGTGTCAAAAAAATAATTTTCATATTTACAGGAAGTGTCAGAATTCCAGTTCTTGGCAGAGTATATAAAGCTTTTCATACACAATCTTTTTTATTATTAGACAGAGAATATAAAATCTGAACTGAAAATCAAATTCAATGCATCATGGAAACTGTATTCCTCAATAGCTTTTCTTAAACTTAATTCTAGTTTCCTTCTCTCTCTCTCTCTCTCAAAAGACATCCTGCTAAGACATCTGAGCTGTAATGCTACCTACTTTTCAAAGCATCCTCACTTTTACCAAGAGCCAATAGCGTACTGAGATTGGATCGATACATCCTTACTTATATCCCTACCAATGCAAGTAAAATTAGTGTGTTGCAAATTATGCCTTATTTTGCTAATAGTTATGACTGCTTACTCTATGCAAAAGGACTTAATGGAGGGGGGGGTGTTATATATAACTGATTAATTATTTATCTGTAACAGTGTTTTGATAAACATGCATGTATTCACCAGCCATTAGCTTGCTTAATAAACGTATAGTTAAAATGTGATTCTTTGCACTGAAGCAGTTTACTTCTGCGTCTAATTTATGAAAAAAATTACACTGGCAAAACCGCTGCATAGCTGAACTCTAATTAGAGTTAAATGGATTAATCTGTTCATGAAGACATGCTTTGCAAGTTGCCTGTACTAGTATATTTTTTCCTTAGAAGATACAGCCATCAAAGAGATCTTACATTGATGTTAAGCCTTTTATCTTTTTCACAATTGGTACCATATCAGACCTTCTAGGCACAGATCTCCAATCTTTTCCTGAATTAACGTTGTTCTGTAACAGTCACTGGCCTAGGGTTGTGTATTGTTGGATTTTTTTTTTTTTTTTTAAATAGTATTATTTCACACTCTCGTTAACTAACAGCAATAGTTCATTTCCTGAAGGGAGAGGTAATCAGTGACATCTTTCACTGTATGGTGATTTTAAAAACAAAATTTTAGTTACATTGCTGTCTAATCAACGAGTATTAGCTTTACAGGATCACAATTCTCGTAACACTAACAAAAATAACCAGCTTTAATGTTTACTACACATTTAATGCATGTGCCAAAATGTAAAGCTAACCTATTGTCAGTTTGCTAATGTGTACTGAATACCATTTATAAATATATTCCATAAAAACATCTAAAATACTGAGTCTTGTTCCTGTAATATCCCTGAACATCCAGAAAGTTCTCTCTGAAAACCGGGTGAGGAATAGAGTTCCAGAGCTTAACACTGTCACACAAGATCAGTCAGTTGCACATAGTCCTAGTGGGGTTCAGTCTGTTGAAGTATAGCTTGTATTACAGTGACCCATATTTTACACACACAGCATATATTACTTGCTTGTCCAAATAAAAAGGTTATTAAAAATCTATTACACATATCTAAAGGAAAAAAAAAAAAAAAGATGTCTTGTCTTTGTTATTCCACACCCCCCCCATAGATTAATCTCATCATGTCCATGGATTACATATTTTGACAAGTGTTTTACGTTAAAATCTTTTTCAAGTACTTTAAAAATTTGTTATACCAAAAAAAGCTGCCTTTTTCTTTTTTTTTTAAAAAAAAGTACTTCCTACAATTTAACACAAAATTCAGGTGCAAGAATTTTAAACAAAAAATGAACTAAAGAGCTTTATTGACATCACAGTACATTCAATAGTAATTTTAAGAACATTACAGCTGAAAGAGAATGGCCTGGTTTATATTCTTAGTAAGCACTACCGTTCTTGAAAAAATGTAATACAAAGAAATCCTATTAGGTATTTAATTCTGAGCAGCATTTGGAAAAAATACACCTATTTACAGATAAAAAAAGGATTCTGGTTTCACCTACATAGCCACAATGTGCCTCTATAATGAGACAAGCCTTTTATAACTCATGGAATTTTTAAACATCATAGCACTGGTGCCATAAATTCCTCAGCGTTTACGACGAAGAGGAGTCGTTGATCTGAAAAATAAAGGAAAAGGGGAAAAAAGTTAATTGGAAAAAATAAAAGACCCCCAAACCCACACACACTTTAGGCTTAGTAATTAATAGTTTTAAAAGATTTTTCCAAAGTTACTTTTGCCTAAGACAGAAAATTTAATAAATACCATACTTTATTAAAAAAAAGTTCATATGCCGTACACATGAAGACGAATATCAAAAAATAAAAAAAAAAAAAAAAAAAAAAAAAAAAAAAGTCAGACAAAATACTTAAAAAGTATACTACCTTGATCGTGACTTAGACTTGTGTTTGCGGCTTGCCTTCTTACCAGACCTTTGAGATTTCTCCATGGAGCATGACCGAATATGCTTCGATTTCTTAGCCTTCTTTTCTTTACTGCTTCCTGGTGATTCAGAACTACTCCTTGCACTAGATTCGGAGCCTGACCGTTTTTTGCTATCTTTGGTACAAATTTTTTTGCTTTCTTGTCTGGAATCCTGCCTTATTATTTTCACACATATTGAATCACTGCGAGAGAAAGTTCTTTCGCTGTCTCTTTTTCTCTTTAACCTACTGTCGTCATGATTGCCAGCCTTACTTTCCTTCTCCTCTTTTTTGGGCTTTTCTTTTCTTTTTTCCTGATCTCTCTCCCTTTCTCTGTTCTTTTTCCTGTCTTTATCTATACCTCCGCCCTGCTCCTTCTTCCTTTCTTGATCTTTACCCTCACTTTTATGTTTGTGCCTATTTCCAGTAGGGCTTCTACGCTGCTCTTCAGTTTTACGTCTATCCCTGCTTCTGCTGCGGCTCGCACGGTTGGCTCGCCTGTCTCTTGAACGGCTGCTACTTCTACGTCTATCCCAGCTTCTCTCTCTCGAAGGACTCAGATTTCTTCGCCTCTCCCCTCTTTCAGCACTGCGATTTCTACTTGATCTTCTCCTTTCCCTTATTTTCTCCCTGCTCCTACTCCTCTCCCTCCTATTCCTGTGGGAGTAACTCCTGCTCCTACTGCGCCTAACTTTATGTGACGGCGTCCTACTGCGACTGTGCCTCTTCTTCCTTTTAGGAGAGGAAGAACGCGAAGAGCTGCGACTACTACCTGAGCTAGTGCTATAGGATGAACTAGATACAGTGCTGCTACTGCTACTGCTTCTGCTATTGCTGCTAGTGCTACCACTGCTAGAGCTTCTTGACCCGCTCCTCCCTGTCCTCTCTTTACCCTCTTTTTTGAGTTCTATATCAGGTGCGACTGCATTTGGAGATCTTTTCTTTTCATGAACCATATCTGCTTCAAGATCTTTTGCCTCCTGTGATGCCATGTTACTGTTTTGTTCTTTGCTGATAAATTCATTCATCTCTTTTGAAACTTTTTCATTTTGTAGCTTTTCTTCTGAAAAAAAAGGTATGGAAAAGAAAAATGCAATTAATAATGTGTCACGGTAATATGTCAATAATTTCCATACTGTTACTTTTGGCAAACCCAAATTTCCAAGCACCTTTCACAACACTTATAATTACTATGCTGTCTGCCATCATAACCAACTACCTACCAAACAACTTACTTTCTTTTTTTATAATTCTAGGAAAGTTGTCCTCCTGGTTTAAAAAAAGTGTACAACCCAGACACTTTTACAAGTCCTTGATGTCATTTCCCGTTTCAGTGGTTTAAGACAAAGTTCTCCAACGAATATCCTGGAGCACCAGAACTCCCAAATTCATGTACACACACGTACTTTTTCCTCCTGCGACCTTTTGACACACCTGATTCTCCCCTCCTCCTTCCTACAGCATTCCCCTAGCGGTACCCATGCTTCCCACCTGCCTTTCAACCCCCTTCATCTGGGTTTGAGTAATCCCTGGCTGGTCTGAAGAGGCTGTATTTCCCACACAGCGCGTGGGCGGCCTCTCAGCCTCAGAACAACATTGGCTGTGCTTCTGTGTTTTGTAGGCCTCATTACCCCAAAAAAGCCTCAGAGGAGTACCTTCTGCTACAGTGATGCAATTTTGTTTTTTGAAAGAAAATATCAGGTTTATGGTGTTTTCCGAGGACAACTTAGATCAGTCCTAAATGCTAATACAAGCAATTTAGATTTTTCCTTGTTTTTAGCAGGTTTTATAGCCAACAAATTCCAAGGAAGGGAGGAATAGCATAAAAAGGAGACTTGTAGGTAATTCTTTGCTTAAGAGTCAGCGCAAAAGTTAAGACCACAGCATTTAATACAGGCAGATGGTGAAGCTCTTGCTAAACGAAAGTTAAGGTCAGTTAAGACTGTATGTAAGCTTTGTAGTCAGAAAATACTCTAAGCACGGTAAGAAGACAACAGAAGTATTTAAAATACGTTTCTTAAAAGCAACGTAGTGAGTATCAGGCTAAGGTTTTCATACAGCAAAATAAAGAAATTCAGACCTTCAGAGCATTTTCCAGAGGTTTCCAAATTTTAATGAATTCTACTTATTCCTATTCGACCTAGGATCCTTTGCATCACCGGCCGAGTTTATCTCCCCATTTTAAATTGAACCCAGAAAAAATAACTGACATACAGCATTTTTAGCCAAAAAAATGGCCTTTTGATGTGGGCCATCAGTTCCTGAATTACCTTAGGGAATAAAACCGCATCCGGAAACCCAGAGTGATCCAAATGGCAACTGATAGTCAAACATAACCCAGAAAACAATTCCATCTGGTCCCCGAGTTATTAGGTAATACAGGCAGAAGCCAGTGTTACATTAGAAGATGCTGTATTGTATATTAGAAATCTTCTGACTTTCCTAAACGCCGCTACAAATGAGACCATGTGTTTAGCATTCTTCAGTGCTTTCAGTGTATAGAATCAGCTTCTTTACTCCAGATTTATATTTATGTAAATAGCTCCATGGAGATGTCCCCAAACTGACATCTGGTTTCCTGCACTAGGAAGGCAGAGGTCATAGGCCACCACTCAGTCACTCCACACAGCTATCTTTTTATGCATAAATCTTAAAACACTCAGAGAGAGACAGGAATATTAAGGAAACCACAAGTTTAGCTCGTTCAGCCTTTTATTAAGGGATCCATGTGTCTTACTTCTAGTGCTATCATAATAGCACTTTCTTTCTCCTCCACCTTATGAACTCAGATCACGACTTCTTATCATTGTATTCATCTGTTGATCTAGACTGCTCTTCAGCAGTGCAAGGTGACTACGATACCCTTTTGACCTACGTTACTGGTGCAAAAGGACAAACCTTACCTTGTATGGATAAGCAGAAGTAAATCACAGATTTAATCTTGTATTTTTTTTAAATCAAGCCTGCCACCTTCTCAGAGGCTAAGTGTGAACTGACTGGGTTCAATAATCTTTCCCCGGTATTAGGTATAAAAACCCGGTTATGAAGATGCAGCATATGGAGACAAACCTCAACTACAACCAAGAACAGCGAGTTCAAACAAACTGCAGCCTCCCACTGCATGTTCTGAAAGGCACGCCGCTCAAGATTATGTAATAGAAAAGCAAATTTTTCAGATGACGTAAAACATGCTTCATATACTTAAGAGTATACAACTTTAGGAACCAAGTTTACATAAACTGCAGTCTGGTGCAGAAAGGTGAGATTTATCCCCCAGTCACAACTGAAATACTAATAATTTAAAAAAAATATATTATACACACGTGCATTTTTATAAAGCAATACTATTATTTACAGTGCCATATCTACAGCATATAGAGATATATATGCACCATGTCTGCTCTTTTAACGCTGATCAAGTAGTTCAAACATCGTTTTTGTTAAAACCTTTTAACTAAATAACATTATTTCTAAATTTGGCTTCATATTTTTTGGCTTAAAATGCGTTTTCTCTCCCACCAATTTACATACATGAAGTAGCAAACTCCACATACAGCAGCACGGCAAGAAGACATCACATGATTTACCTTCTAGCTGTTTTTCTAGTAGTAGTTGCTGTTCTCTCTCTTTTCTCCAAAACGCTTCCTGTTTTTGCCTGATTCTGTGTCGTAATTCCTCATCATCAGTATCAGATGATTCAGAGCCTCTGTCACTCCTCTCATCTTCACTGTCTCCTGATCCATAACCACCCAGTCCACCTGCGTGCATAAAGTCCAGTCTATCACGAGGAAAGATTAAGCTTTGTTCTTAATATTTCTGTGGGGCAAACAGGAGAGTAACATTGCCCTTCCTTCACTTCCTCTTCTCTGAAGAAGTCACTTTATTCTGGTAAGTGCCAATGTTGTTTGACTGGTGTGATCAAGGCCCCCATATCTGCATTGATGCTCACTGTCTGGTTCTACTCCTCCTGGAACAGCTCGTCTATTTTCGGCAAGCAACCACTGTGATCACAGTACTTTTTCCATTGTATGGAAGGGCAAAAAAGCTCCCTGCGGAGATCGTAACAGTGCCTGCCTCTGTATCAGCAACCGGACAGAAAATGCCTGGGACCTTTCCCAGAAGACATCTCTGAAATGACTTCAGCCGCCTCCGTAGTCCAAGGCTACAGAAATTCTGAATGCCATATCAATTTTTGTATACTGATTTAGAAAACACTGCACTTTGACAGGTATGGAGATGGAACAGAAATGGACTTTCTTCTCCCCTAGAGATATTGTAACTACTGGACTGATAAGAAAGATAAAGTCAATTTAAACATGAGACATGGAGATATTTTACTTTCTTTCAGTCTGAGGTTCTTACGATCTTTATTGAGTGAGCTTTAAAACACGTGAATACTTGTGATAACATTCAATCTAATTCATCGGAATTCCAGGTAACGAACACATAACTGATCACTGACACTGCTGTAGTATGTTTTAGATGATAAAAAGCATGTTGGGAAAGATCTTTTGCTGTTGTGTCACAAGCTGGAATTTCAATCTCTTTTTCCTGTGTTGTTTCTGGTAATATACGATATGGGAGCCTTTGTGCTTATGTACCTTTTCAATAAAACAGTAATTCCAAAGATTATGATTTTATTTATAGACTTTCACGTTACTCTTCTATCAACTTTCCTGTCTTGTTTGGATGGATCAAAATAGGAGAAAAATGTAAAACAGTATTCTCTGAAGACTGCAGTGTGCTTCTGAAACAACCATACTTTGAAAAGTAAAATTATCTACGTTTTTTATTTATTTTCAAAATTAGGACAAGATTCTCATACGCTAACTCTCACTGACTAGTCCTTTACTCCAAAAACCATCCCACTTATATCAGTAGGATCACCTGTGGAACAAACAAAGGTGCTGATAATGATAAAGTTATTGGAAAGTGGCCCACGCTCCTGGGTAATTAATATCTAGTTTCAAAATGCAATTTCTAGAAACGCAAGGCAAGAGCGAAACTCCCCCTTTAAGCCCTCTCAAAAATAAGGAACATACTTACCGAGTCCAGTGAGGGAAGCCAGTGCACTGGACTGTGCCAGCTGTTTTGCAGGAGCTTTGTATCACATCAACAACAGGAACAACATGTTAACACAAATAGCCACGATTTCATAGTCATGAGTCTATGGTATTGTTAAATCTACTACTATTGCTGTTCTTTGGAGGGAGAGAAGAAACATTAAAAACGCATCATCCATTTAAAACCAATTCTAGATTTTTCTCACCACGAAGATTTAGAATTTAACTGCAAATTAATAGTGAACAGAAAAAAACCAAATATATGCTCATAAATCACTTTCAAAGTTACAGCATCTGCACATAATTTTCAAGTTGCATATTTAGATTAACTCAGTTACGTTAAAAACAATCTGTTATGTAAGTACAATACATGTTAATAGTGAAAGCAAATGAATTACTAATTGAGGACTCAAAGTTCGTCTCTTTTCACTTCTGAACAGCTAAGAACTTGAGATAAAGATGAGAGCATTAAGAAACAGCTACGACTCAAGAGCCACTGACACAAAGGTACCGTTTTAACTAAATAAATGAATTGTATGAAAGAAATGGAATAACTGAAGTAACTCACAATACACTGCACAGGACAACAGTACATGATTACTGGATTTGAATTCTACCAAGTTGGATGCATTTTACTGGAATTGTCTTGGGGGATAACTATGGAGGTTAAATGTTCTAGAGACATGCAAATATAGAATATTTACAGAAGAAACGTTTAAAAAAAAAAAAAAAAAAGAACTGGCATACCTTTAGTTGCTTTACGGTGAACCTCTTTGGCCACGTAATAAATTTCTTCATTTGTGACATCTAAGAGAATCTCTGTCAGCAGCATTTTTGTCAGCATCATCTGAAGAAAATTGTATATACAATTAAAGGCTAAAGCCTCTTGAATAAATCCTGCATTCAAATTATAGCCATAGAGCTTCACTTCTTTTGACAGCTATGAAAGCACTCTCCTGCACATTATGTGACTTAAAAACATAAGTCTGAAATTGTTTAAATTTGACCTGATTTCAAAACTTTCAGAATAGTTTGTATTTTGATTGTGAACTGTATCCATTTGTATTACACACAGCTACCCAGGGCACTGATTCCTGATGTCAAAGATGACACAACAAATTAATATGTAAATCAGAAATGTACTTAGACCGACCCCATTTATTCTTTTAAAAAATAAAGAGTGCATTTCTGTTTGGTATGCTGCCTCACTAACCCCAATCCTGCAAAAATCATCAGAGGTTACTTTTATAGGATTTTATTATTACATATTTACTACAAAAATTGAAATGTCGGTAGCTAGTTCTCCAAGCTGCTCAGTCTGGCGGTGTGTTTTACAAAAACACATTCATCAAACTTTTTCGAATTCAGGGCCTCCATTAATAACATTTCAGTTGTACAATTAGCATACAACTATGATTTCAAAGTATGAAGTTTCTGCAGACACTGTTGCTGGTCTAGGACTTGGGTTTCTAGCACTTCCTTGCAAGAATATATTTCCTGAATTCCCTTTCACAGGAACTGAGGTTGAAGCATAGACAGGGGTGCATTTAATCATTACAGGCTTTCAGGAATTTGACAAGCTAAGCCAAACCATAGAATTAATAACGATCAATCTAAAGATTGCAGTCATTACATTCTTCCACTATTGTGCTACATATGAGTTATATAACCTACACCCTTGTCAATAGGAGAAAGATGGCATTATAAAGAGACATGCAAATATAACCCTGCTTTACTGTATGATATGTGCTATGCCTCTGTTGGCAGTATCAGGCACAGAAAAAGTGTTTTGCTTTGCTCATATTTTTCAGGCATAGCAAATAGACAGAAATACTTAGTGAGAACTATATTATTAATACCATTTGATACTCCTTTTCTTCTTCTGTCATTTCTGGTTCACTTTGCTCCTCTTGAGGAGCTGGTGATGGACTCCTGCTGATTTTCCCAACGCTTACAGCTTCTGTGTTTTCAGCATCTTCATCTTCCTCATCACTGTCCTACAAGAATAGCATCATACAGTTCAGGAAAAACTTAGATGTAAATCTCATTAGTTTCCATTTATGATAGTCAACTTGATTTACTTTGTACTGAAATCTGTATTACAGTTATCATAAAATTGTATTTCTTTTCTCCCCTCCTAATAAACACGCAGGTAGGAACCTCTCTACCCACACAAGATAAGAAAACATATAGTTGTCATTTTACAGTCAAACAAGTACTCAGAACTGCAAACCAATGAGGTAACTGCTAAACTGAAGGCAACACAAGACTTCCTAAATGGGCTCAGTTTAGCAAATACAGGTATCAGAATTTGTTCAGCTACTGATTTAGAATTCAAACCTTCAAAGACCATGTATGTTCCCAAAATACAGAAAAGAAAAAAATTTCTTCGCTCTTACAGATCAAATAATATACTTTTTCCTCTCAGACATGAACAACTTCAAAACACCACGTAAATACCAAAAAAGCAGCAGCTTAACTTTACTTTAAGTAACAGAAATAAAGAGATAACCAAGAATACAGAGTCTCTCTTTTGAAGAGACCAAAAAGTTGATACCTTTCAGGAAATACAAACCTGAGCAAAAAGCAAACCCTTCTACTTACAAATTTACTTTTCTGAGGTAACCGTGGGCCATCCCCTTCTTCAGCCTCCTCACTTTCCTTTTTCTCTTTTTTAGACATCTGTGAACGTTGCTGCTCCATCCTCTCTTTTTCCAATTTTTTCTGTTTTTCTCGTTCCATCTTTTCCAGGCCCTCACGAATCCAGGCAGGCAGAGTTCTACGCTTCACAGCATCTATATAAGCAAGGTTTACAGTTTTGTAAGATGAAAAAAACTTCCCCCCCCCCAAAAAAAACCCAATAAAAACAAAAACCAAGAACAAAGAAG